TTTAAGCCCTCCGTTTGCTATTCATTCGCAAGTGCTACGTCCTTACTTGGGGTGATATTTAAAATTCAGCTTCCGATACGGTGTCTGAATTTAATTCAGATCAGTTTGCGACAATGTAGCTTAATTTAATCCATTTGGAGCGACACATACTTAAGCTTACACACACAAAGTTCTTCACCTTTTTCATGCGAAACGGTAACACTGAAATGGGAGCAAATTCGACGGGTCAATTAACCGCAGTTAAAATGGAAAGAGTCGAGCATACGTTCCCGGGGTCTTCTCAATTGGGGGGAGGTACCCTTCCCCCCTTTGTGAGATGCCCCCAAAACGCGTTAACGTGTGTGTGTCACCATATACATGGACCACCAATTGTGGTAGCTACGCCAAGGGGACGTTGCATGTTTGACCAAAAATATAGCTGCTTGGCTTACGCATCATATTTTAACGCGTAAAAAGGGGGGCATTTTTTTTTTTCCATTACCAAAAAGGGGTTATCATTTTCCCACAGGACCCATAAAATACACCATATATAACGATTCCCCCCTTCTCCTTAAATGTTCAAATGAAGTTGACTGGAATGAAAACGTATGACCACAGCGCAGTATGCATCACATAGAAATAATGGGATTGCATATTGGATAAAAAAAAAAGGGAGAGTATTTAAAGAAAAAAAAAAAAAAACCCTGCGTGAGTCCTTTCGAGGGGTGAGTCCTCTTTCTGTATGAGCAGTTTTTCAATTTTTTTTCTTCAAAACTCCGCATTATTTTGTATGACCGTTTGAACACAGATGGGGATTGGCAATATGTTGCTAACATATGCCCCCATGCGCCTTCCTTTATGCACCTATAAGCGTGGAGCAATATTTTAAAGAGAGAAAAAAAAGAGAGGTATGTTTATCCTCGCAAGTTTGCAGAAGAACCACTATAAACGAATGCTGACAAATCACCACCACCCCCGCAGCAAAAAGAAGAAAAAAAAGATAAATAGAGGGGCTAAAAATTGTGTAAATATCAATGTGTAGTTCATGCAGCGGATGGGAGAACGCCGAGAGGGCTGCAATAGGCACTTAAGGGTGCCTGCATCCATATCCGATTTAGAAATGTAGCTCATTTATTTTTTTGTTTTTATGTACATGTTGGCTTGCAGAAAGTAGAGATCCCCTCTAGGTGTTTTCTTTTTTAAAGCATTTATATGTGCGCTTTATTACATAGTCAAACCATTTGTCGGTGTACCGAATTTTTTAAAATGTA